AGACTAATGACTATGATGAACTCTAAGAACAACTGAGATGAATATAGAGTCCTAAAATAAAATATAATGTGTGGTAGGACCTGTAATGTTCAACTGTGCACTTTTCACCATCCTATAACAGATTTCACTATCATGCCTTTACTGCTCACCGCGTGAAACAACTCATTTCAAAGAGTCTACCGATGTGTAAATTGCTATTGACAATACAAGTATGTAGGCAACAACCATAAAATCTGTATATTAAAAATACATTTTCCAAGGTTTATTACACCAAAATGAAGGATCCACTTAGCATTTACAGACAATTGAAATTAAAAACAAAAACAACAAAAATTTCCACTGCATAACTCCACCAACAATTTTGGGACACAATGAAAAATATAAAATATAATTCCTGGAATTAACTCCAAGGCGATATACCCACAACCATTTACACAAGCTCCACTTCACAATTCACTGGCATCAAAGCTCTAGACTCCAAGGCTTACAACCTTGATGTGCCATTTGACATTTTAGTCTTCTCTAACCACACATTAAACTACTAATAACTAAAATCGGTTAATACCAGGGCAAGCACAGTATGTGTGTAAAAGATACGAAGCTCAGTTTTGAACATCTGCAGTAGGACAACATACCTATGGAACATCCTGAAAGTATAGGCAGCTTGCTAAAAAAACTCCTCTGAAACTTAGACCACCTGGGACAAACATATATCTTGGTAGTTATCAACACATAGGCTGTAGCTAAAGCCAGGAGTGATTAAGATCACCCTAGAAAGAATGTGCAGTACAGGCACACCTGTTTTATTGTACTTCACTTTATTGTGCTTTGCTTTATCATACCGGGCAGACATTGTGTTTTTTTTGCAAATTGAAGGTTTGTGGCAACCCGGCAACGAGCAAGTCTACCAGTGCCGATTTGGGTTTAAATTCTGCCCTTGTGATTCATTAGCTGAGTGACCCTGAGCAAAGTCATTTCACCTCTCTGAGCATTCCTTTCCTCGGCTATACAAATGGAGATACTGCCTGCCTCATATGGTTTTATACACACCCACGCACAAAAGCATATATATTATATATATTGCAACATTTACTAAAAGCTCATAAATAGTACCAATTTAAATAGCACCAAACTAATTGATGTGGTTACACAAAAGGGCAGAAGAGCAAAGCGAATTGTACATGTCCTAAAAAATGAAGACAGAATGGAAAAACAACTCAAATCTTTACTGAAATGCATCAGCTAAGCAGGGATCCCACTGCATGGCACCTGGTCTCAACACTCTCTCTGTCATCTGTATTCGAAAGGCCCACATGTCCCAGTAAAGGCAAAGGCATGTACACACACTCTCTCTCTTTTACCCTCCAAATCCCCCCACTTTCCCTCGCAATTTAGCCACGAAATTTTTACAGTTCTTTTATGATTATCTAACCTTGGTCAATAAGGAAAAAAATCAAATGTCAAGATGTTTCCTATACAGCAAACACTTTTATAAAAGCTGAAGCCACAGTAAACCTGTGTTTGTCAGAAATTGCTGGTCTCTGGTGTTTCGTTTTGCTCTTCTAAGAAGAAATTAAAACCACTGGGCCACTGAGAAGCAAGCCCCAGTTTCTAACACGGGCAGCTCAGAGTGGCTCGACGCCACTTCTATCATCAACCTTAGGGATGCTGAACAAGTGGAGCAAAGGAAGACAGATGTGTCAAGGGAACTGGGCCCTGGCCTCCCAATATGGTCCCCCAACAAAGCACAGTGTGACCGTGCAGAGAACGCCTGGAGACCCAGCTCAACTCCTCAGCTAATCCCAGTGAGAAACTGAAGCAGGAGCCCATCTGCGGCCCAAGCCACAGTGCATAAGGCAAAAGTACCAATGCCTCCTTGACGGCCACAGCCATTTCAAGTGAGGACATCCTAGGTTCAAGGGCATAGGTCTCAGGTACTTAATGACACTATTCCGTATTTATCCACTATTCTTCAATGAACAGATGTCTGCCTTACACCCCTAAGTACTTATGTCCACTGTCTCCATGAATGGGTTAGAGAGGATCAGCACAGAGTGCCATGAAAACACACATGAGTGCAGTTAACACAAAAGCAAGAGACTGGGAGGGGCAGAACAGGAAGTTTAGGGAAGGGAATATCAGAAGAAGGCCTCAGAATTCATCATTCAGAAAAAGGAAGAAAAGCAATCAATCGAGGCAGATGGAACAGCACGAGGAAAGGCAGGAAGATGGGTGAGACCATGGGGCGTTATGAACTGCAGGTAACTCAATATGCCTAGAGAATGGGGATGGAGAATTAAGAGCAAAACTACTGAGTATTTTAAGTAATAATATTCCCCTGAAATATAGAATACTGAATGCTAGAGTCAAATAAGGACATTTGGAGGGGACCTGGGCTTAGATTTACTCCTCTAAGTTTCACGCAAGCTGAATTTTCAGTGTTCTCTGTCAAGATTTAATGTGTGCTACAGGTTCCAGACAATTGGCAGAATCAGACCCATGCTAGTAAATACAGTTTTGCTTGCCACAGAATAGCTTTCCACACACTGCCTGGCTCCCCCAGACCCACCTGGCTCAGACTACAGGCCTTTCCCCATAGCAGAGAAAAGTCCAAGTAGGAGGGTATGCTTCAGTTCTGCACATTTCATTGGGAAATAGGTAATTAAAAAATTATTGAATGCAGGCAATACCCCGTTTAGATTGTCAAGATCTTAAAAGCACACTTACCTATATAAGCAGTCCATATAGTCTGCACCCTTGCTATATTCTTCCCAATACCTATGATACATAACAAGTACTTGTTCTTCTGACTCCAGAACTCTCTATATAAAGAGGAAAAATATTTTTACTTGTACTTCTCCACTTTTACGTAAAAAAAAAAAGAAAAAAGAAAAGAAAAGAAAAATATTTTTACTTGGAAAGCACTAATCATTTTCATTGTAAACTATAAACTGTATCAAAATTAATGTTCTAAAATAACTTACATAATTCACATATTAAAAATTACATCTATAAATTGCATTTTAATTTAACTATCTTTAGTAAAAATGAAACAACTGAGAAAGCCTTAGATATGAAACCGAAGCATCCATAATAGAGAATAAATAGTTTCGTTCACCAAGATAAAAGGACAAACTGTAACAGTTTGATGCTGTCTTTGGACTAGAATATTAAGATCAGATTAAAATAGAACACAATTCTATTGTCTTCTATCTTGTTTCCTCAAATCCACCACTTTTCAAATTTTTTAAAAACTTCTCTGGTGATATTTGAGTCCTTGATAAAAAAAAAAAAAAAAATTTTAAAAAACTGACAGATAACACTGTATGTATTCATTGAGTACAACATGATCTTTTGAAGTATATATACATTATGCAATGGTTAAATCTAGTTATTCAACAAATGCATTATCTCACATAGTCAAATCCATTACTTTCTATCAGCCTGAGTTAAGTATATCATCACTCCAAATTAAACTATTCACTTTTGTGAATAAGACTATTTATGGAAATTGATACATTTTCCACATTCCCCAAAATAAGTTGCTTTATATTTACTTAATAGAAAGCTATTTTTTGAAAACTGAAAATCTCACTGAAATCTCAGGTCTATTTTTAAAGGAAATATAATCTAACAATAAAAATCCATTGGACTGATATGCAAGAGATTTTAGGTTCTCTTACCTTAGTTCTGTCATTAATTGCCCACATGCCCTTAAGCAAGTCATGACCTCAATTTCCATCTAATTAATTCTCTGATGAAAAGCAATGCTTTTAAACTTGTAATTTTAACAATTTAGGCTTAGGGTGACAATAATAACCTATAAATAGCATTTTTTGCCTATCAAGTTGGCAAATAAATTTAAAATAGCAACTACTCAATAATGCTACGGAATAGGGCACCCTTCTGTGAGCTACTGCTGCTGCTTGGATAAACATAAACCTGGAGAACAATTTGTTAATATACGTGGAAAACAATTAGAATGTGGGTGACCCAGCAATTCCATGTCTAGGAATTTATCCTCCAAAAAACTTTGTTACACAACAGTAATCTAGCTACAAGGATGCTCACAGAGTACTGTTTATAATAACAAATTATATAAAATGGAAAGACTCTACATGCTCAGCAATATGGGAGCATTTAAACAAACCATAGTATTTCATATCAAGAAAAACTTTACAAATCACTGCCAGGATTACAAATATCTATTTAATGACAATGAAAGATACTTACATAACTACTAAAAGCAAAAAGCAGATTATAAAAGTGAATAACATAACTTCATTTTATAATAAAAAGTAGAAGTCTATACAAAGCAAGAATATGTAAAGGACATAAAATTAAATAAATATTAATATATACTAAAATAGATATATTTAAGTTAGATATATCAAAAATGTTAACAGTGGTTATTTCTGAAGGTATGTTATGGGCAGTGTTTATTTTTTTCTTTTTGCTAATCAGTATGCTCTAAATTATCTATAATGGTAATGCAATACTTTACTAATGAAAAAAGTTCCCTCCCCCATCAAATCAGATTTCCTTTTCATAGGTAAAACAGCTTCAATTCTGCTAGCTATGTAACAATTTATACAAGTTTTGCAATCTTTCATAAAACTGCTTCATAATAACACTTGGAAATCACAGAATTATGCCAATGTTGATTTCTTACTTTTAATAACTCTACCATTATTATGGAAGATGTTAACATTAACAAGCTGGGTGAAAAGGATGTGAGAATTCTCTATACTATTTCTGCAACTTTCTATAAGTCTAAAAAAATTCTGAAATTTTTAAAAATTTGTTTTAAAAATCACACAACTTAACCTGAAATATAAAACCAAAAAGTGTATAAATGTCTTACATAATTATCAATTATGGTATAACCAAAGCTCACTAGCTTACAACAGCAGAATTTTAAAACTAAATTAACACATTAAACATTTTAAAGCCACTTTAAAGTATGTGCTGTCGAAACTACTTTGATGAGCTGATAAATGCACACACTAGAACACTAAAATGTACGTGCCATATACTATAAAAATTAGAGCTCTTCCTTTGAATGTTTTAAGGGAAATACCAGATGATCAACTGTGCCCTACTTATGGGTTCTTACCATTTTTAAAAGTATCCACAAAAAAAAAAAATCTGACTTGGTGAGATCTGAAAAAGAAAAAAAAAAAAAAAAAGGAAAGAAAGAAAAAAAAAGAAAAAGTATCTACTCCTGGCCATGGGGAGGGTTAGAAGACAGTTTATATAAACTGTGTGGTTTTATTCCCATTTTACAGATAAAGAAATTTAAAGCTCAGTCCATAAGATAGTTGTTAAGTGGGCTTCCCATGGTCACAACAGCTAATCAACAGTTTAGTCAAGATTCTATCCAGAGTAGGGCTTATTTTAAAAAAAAAAAAAAAAAGATTCTAGTCCAGGCAATAAATTATCTCATCCAGTTCCTGATAAGCTCATTAGTCCAAATTAAGTTAGAAATGGTCCATAGCAAAATACATCCTTGGGTTATGGATGAGACACCTTCCTGAGAACAACTTTAGGTCGGCTTCCTATGTGACATGGATCCCTGATGAACAGTGCATATACAGTAATAATAATAATAATGATGATAATACAATGGCTCATATGTGGTAATAATGCAGTGTAATACTGTAATAATAATAATATCCATGTACTGTAATAAGTTATAGATACTGTGCTCTTTTAATTCCTAAGCTAATAGAAATCTTATTATTTTGATTTTCTATCCAAATCAATAATAACCTTTCCATTTCAGTAGTTAATCCACCACACTTAACCGATGCTTTCATTGGAGCACTCCCTTCACATGTTCCATTATTCTCACTTTATCCTTTATAATTGTTCCATAATCAAGCGACTGAAGCCTAATGCCTTCCCAATGAATAATGGCATTGGTCTTTCTCTGAAGGTGTTTCCATTGCAATCATCTTTCTCTTCTCTGCAGGCTCACCTGCACTTGCAGTGGACTTTCACTTTGGAGGCATGGTCACCAGGGTAAACACAGACTCACAAAACCAAATAAAAAAGTTAAGATGAAAGTGATACTGTGCGCAAGCGACCATATAAACAATGAGACTAGCTGCTACTGTAAAGATGCTGCGTCAGGCTGCGATCGGAGGCTCACGCCTGTAATCCTAGCTCTCCGGGAGGCCAACGCAGGAGCATTTCTTGAGCTCAGGAGTTTAAGACCAGCCTGAGCAAGAGCGAGACACTGTCTCTACTTAAAATAGAAAAATTAGCCTGGCGTGGTGGCATGCACCTATGGTCCCAGCTACTCAGGAGGCTGAGGCAGGAGGATTGCTTGAGCCCAGGAGATTGAGGTTGCTGTGAGCTACGGCAATGCCACTGAACACTAGCCTGGGCAACAGTGAGACTGTCTCAAAAAAAAAAAAGCTACACCAACAAACTGCTTATGCCACACAAATTTGCTTACATGTGTGGAAGAAACTATAATAGTTCCTGGATTATTAATCTGATTATTTAATTATAAATCATCCTTATGGGGAGTCTTGGGAGCCCGTTCCTAAGTATGGAACACCATAAGTTGGGTCGGCTGTAACCCAGGGACTGACTGTACCACAAAATCCATACACAGATCAAGTTTGTGATGTTGCCTTTAAATACATGGCATACTGATCAAAACAACTGGTTACAGAGACCACTTTTATCATCATTTACCATTTCCCTTTTTAATTTTAGGTTTTTGAAAGCCTTTATATAGCATATGAAAAGACAGCTGAAAGACTGAAAATAATAAAGATAGACATTTATAAATAGCATCAGAGGACACAGGAGTCTGCACTGGAAAACACTGAACTATTAAAGTAACGATGCAGCTATAAACACATTTATATCATGTATGTATCATTTCTTACCTTGTGCAAATGCCGAACGTGATTTTCCAAAAAAATCTTAGTTTCTGTATAAAGTCTTTCTCCAAGGGGTTCAGGATAGGCCACACATAAAGCATAGATATCTCTAGTTATATTATTAAGGTTTTCATATTCATTGACATATATTTTTAAAACAATGAGATTTAACTCATTTGGTATTAAATGAAAAATTTCATTTTTATGGTTTAGGCTTATAATATACATACTATTGTCTTATAAATGTGACAAAAGTGAAATACATAACCATGTTTACTTCAAAAAGCACAATAAGATTCATTCATTTATTCATTCAACAAGTATTTACCGAAAATTATTTGAGGACACTGTGAGGAAAATGGTACCTGTTAGAGAGGTTAAAATCCAGAGGGGGTTTCTGGAAAATCAAATTACCCAGAAACCTACAAAATAAGGTTTATGTAAGAATGGATATAAGCACAGTATCAACAAGTGGCTAAGGAACATCAACAGAGGCAGATATGTCTAAGCAATTCTGAAAAACAAAACAGAAAAATTACTCACTTGACACATTCTCCCACGTCACAGTACTCCAAATATTCTACAACCTATCCACTGTCCTTCAGCATTTATTCTATTAGAAGAAATATCATATGCATAGTAATAGTGATATCAACTAATCAATTAAGCTTTTGAATACCATCACCAGTGGCAGACAAACTCTAACAGGAGTTGGAAGAAATGAGATCTAATTGAGACTTTACCTTTTACCAGCCACTGACCTTTTGTTTGTTTGTTAGCTTGTTTGTTTGTTTTTTTTGTAGAGACAGGGTCTCCCTAGTTGCTCAGGCTGGTCTCAAACCACTGGCCTCAAGCAATTCTCCTGCCTTGGCCTCCCAAGTGCTGGGGTTATAGGCGTGAGCCACTGCACTGAGCCATAACCAGGGATCTTAGCCTCTCTGGGGTGCCATTTCACTTTTGTTTTTTTTAATATCCTGTGCTTTACTGAATCCTTTTAATACCCCCAAGGATTAAAAACATTATGCTAAGGATAAAAAGAGACTTAAGGCAACACCACTTTATGATCTTGGGACCAGACACAGTATTAGATAGGATTCTGGAGACTGATATGCTGCCTCCAACAAACGTGAAAAAGCATTCTGGAGGTAACAGCTCATTTGCCCTCATGAACACTGACACCTGAACCCCGTCTAGGTCAAGAACTCCTCGTGGTTGTCTCCAAGATCGTTCCATGGCAGAGCTTTGGCATCTGATCAGTAAAATGACCACTTCCAACTGCCTCCAAGGTAAACATAATAAACATTCCTCTGACATCTCCAGAGTCCCTGTAAGGCCCAAATAAGCTCATGTACATTAAAATGCTTCATAAACTACACATCACTAACCAAATCTGGACAATAAAGGACATGAGCAATTTGAGACCAGCCTAACTAAAGACCCAGATAGAAACTGAAAATAAAGTTAATGATTTAGGATGGAATCAAGTATTTATATTTAATATAAAGACCAAGAAATATTACAAAATAAAAACATACACTTAAAAATATATTAGAGTTGAGATGCAGGTTCCTCCTTCTCTACTTACCCATAACACTTTATGTATTCTTCTACCAAACTTATTTTTATACAACAGACATTATTTATACCTTTGCCATCCACACTAGCCTATTGTTAATCACTTCTATATTCCCAGCTCCTAGGCACAGTTCGTGGCATGTGACAGGCCCTTATTAAATGCTTTTTAAAGGAAGGGAGGTGGGAAGTCAATGTCATGTGTTCTACTAACCTAGTGCCCTACTCCACAAAGAGCAAACAGCCCTCCCCACACGAGGTCACCATCTGGAAGACTTCAGTAAGACCTTTCTTTCCATCTTCCTTCTAAACACTTCTTACTTACTTTTAATTATAATGAGTAACTAATAAAATAGCTTCATATATGTATGTGTATATATATTCCTTCAACATACCACTGCATTAAATATAAACAAAAAATTTCTTTATAATCTTAAAAAACAAAAATAGTCAAGCAAAAAAATCATCCATATAATGTAATATCACTGAGCCAGAATTTTTTGTAGGAAAAAAATATACAATCAGAAAAAACATATTAGCTATTATTTTAAATGAACTTAGATATAATATGGAACCTTTATGAACTAAATTAAAGTAAAAGAGAACAGGCTATAAAACTATTCACTAGCAATAACATAATACATCAAAATATCAACCTATATTACAAAGAAAGTAGAAATCTGAAAATATACCACCTAAGAAAGAAGAATTTAAAAAATGTCTCGGTATATAAATTCTACAGAAGATTGGTTTGGTGGAGGAGAGAGGGAGCAAGGCGTCGGTAGAGAAGAAAGGTGCTTCAAAATAATGTTAGCTGAACACTTGGATACAGCCTGGAGTCCCTGCAGTTTTCAACTATAAATTCTTTTTTTTAAAAAAGAAAGTCCTAGGGCTGTGAGTGGTGGCTCACATCTGTAATCCTAGCACTCTGGGAAGCCAAAGTGGGAGGATCACTTGAGGTCAGGAGTTGAGACCAGCCTGAATAAGAGCGAAACTCCATCTCTACCAAAATAGAAGAAATTAGCCGGGTGTGGTGGTACACGCCTGTAATCCCAGCTACTCAGGAGGCTGAGGCAGGAGGATCACTTGAGCGCAGCAGTTTGAGGTTATAGTGAGCTATAAGGAGGCCACTGCACTCTACCTGGGGCAAGGCGGCGAGACTCTGTCTCAAAAAAAAAAATAAATAAAGTCCTAATTTACTACGTAATTTAAATCCCCTAAGGGCTTTTGTTTTGTTTCATCATAGAGATTTATATTATTCAAACTCAATTATTCACCACAAACTTACCCTAGTAAAATCAGACATAGAAAAGTTGTCAGAATAAGGGGAACAAGGGGTGCTTCCGGGATGCTCAGAGTGTTCTATTTATTGGATACATAGGTATATTCATGTTGTGAGAACTCATCTTTGGGCAAAATCACAAAGAAAAGGAGGGAATTTTGCTTTAGAACCAATATTAACACAGCCCTTTATTTTTCAAAAGGAAATTTAAAACAAGGGATTCCATTCTTTAATTTTACTTTTTTGTACATAATTTTTATTTTGGGGGTAATTCATGATCAGGTTAAGAATAACTGATCCACCTTAGGTGATTCAAATAAACAGGGGTCACTTTCCAGGGAAGTCATCCATTTCAAGACCACTTATAAACCAAGCAATTAACTATATATTCTGTACAACAATAAAGAATGTATTCATCTTTTCTTTTTCTTCACCTCATGCTCATTTTCCATCTTCCTGTAATCTTCTATGACAAACTCCTTTGCTTCCCTCTCTGATTAGGTAAAATAATCTTACAAGTACCTAAGTACTTGCCTAGCCCAACCACATTCACAAACAAGTAGCCTTTAACGCTTTTTCAACGTTTATTAAGATTCCTGCCCCAAATCAATCCATAATGTTCCACAGAAAAATTAGCTATCTAATTTAAAAGACTAATCGAATAATATGTTCTTCAAATGCAGAATCCCTATCAATTGTCCTCTGCACAGACTGGGAAGCACAGGGATTAGGTGTTTAAAATCTTGTATTCAAAGCTTTGCTCCATCAATTACTACCTGCATGAAGCTGGGCAAGTCCATTTACCTCTGAGACCAGCTTCCTCATCTGTTCCATAAAGAGGAGGAATTATATCTGCCCCAGTGATCCGATAGGCTTGTTTGAGGTATCAAATAACATAAGAAATGCAAAAGATCTTTGCAAATTATGAAGCCTTCAGAAATGTTACCATCAGTTTATGTTTCTTCAATGCCCAGAACATAGGTAGCCTAGCAAATGTTCCTCATTGACAACTGCAGTTGTGATCAGTTAAGTGGTTCCCTGTTGGTCTAAAAGAACTTCACTGTTCTGGCATCAACACTCAGCTTAATATTAACTGAGTTAGGCACTGAGAACAAGCTGAATCACTGTCTTATGAAAGCATTTCTAAAGAACGTACGCCCTACACAATGAGGGCAACCCTTCCTTAGCCCCAGAAGATTGCTAGAAGAGGGCAGTGCTAGTTAGGTCTGGCAGACTGCTGTCATGTAAGGAATGAAGGACACCAGGCTTCAGAGCATCCTACAGAAAGCACGAATCTGCATTTTTATGCAAAACAGCCAAATTTCATAGACAATCTAATTAAAAAGCATGTTTCCATCCCGGTCATTGAACTTGCTGCTCACCCTCTGCCTAGAGCACTCTACCCCCAGAATCTGCAGGACTTGTTCCCTCACTTGGTTCCTGTCTCTGCTCAAATGCCACCACCCTCAGGAGGCCTTCCTTGACCGACTGCATACCTGTACTCCAAGCCTTCACCACACCCTCACCCTGCTTTAATTTTCTCTACGATATTTATCACTACCTATTATTAGAAGCAATAACATTAGATTCTTTTATCTGTTTATTGCCTGTTTCCCTTATTATAACGGAAAGCAGTTTTTCTGCTTCACAACTGTATTCTCAAAGCCTAAAGTAGTACCTGACAAATACTAAGTACTCAATAAATATTTGTTGAATGAAAAGTTATCAAAACTTGACTGCCACAAGAGGTGATGAACTTGGATATGTAAATAACAATGTATTTGAAAATACTTACGCTGGAAAGTTCTTCCATATATACAAGCTTAAACCTGTACTTCCTTTTCAACAAGTTTATCAATTCTAGAACAATGATCCAAGCTGCAACTAAAAGGATACGAGAAGCGATCGTTCCAAGTTGCTCTTTCGACGTATTCCAACATGACAACAGCTTTGATAGTAGTTAATAGTTTGTTCCATGTTTCATCGAAATCTACTACTCTTGGTTTCAAAGACATTGTGCAAGGTTAGTGTTGAATCTGTCAATCAAAAACATTAACAATGTTAGCACGAATTCGACAAACTTGGTTAATTGTTTTTAAAGCACCATGTACTTAAACAGCATGACATATGAAAGGAATAAGAACAGAACCTGGAACATACTAAGAACACAATAAACATTGATTACCATCTTTTCGTAACTATCTGGACAAGACATTTCATAGACTGTTTACATTCATCACAAATTCTAGGAAATGGAAAGCTTTTAGTAAAATTATTTATGATCAAGGGTATCATTTCGAAGATTTATAAACCTCCCTTAATATGTTGAGGGAAAGAAGTAGGGACCTAGTTAACCAAAGAGCCAAATCCCACCACGGGAAACACACAGGACACTCAACAAAAAGGTTTTGGTCCCAAATCCTTGTCATTGGCACTCCTTAAACTGGAGAAAGAGAAAAGGAATAAGAAAAGACACAAGAAAATGAAAGGGTTTATCTTCCTGGAGCATCAGTTTTGGTAAAAGATTAGAGAGGAAATTTACATTTATATTAAAATAAATGGTGAACTGTAAGTAGAATAGAAAATTCGCATGACCTTTTAAGATAAAAAATTAAAGATATCAAACAAATGTCTGCTTCACAGCAGAGAGCTTCAGGCTCCTTCTCAGATTCTTGGAGTATATGCAGCCCAACTCCTCCAATGAGAAGCACAGCTCTAGCACTGAACCCCGGGCTCCAGTGAACTTGATAGGACTTTACTGGAGCTACAAAACTCCTCCTGCCTGGCTGACCAGCCCCACTTAGGAATTAGCTGGTTTCCAGCAACAAAAGGGTCCTAAGGTTATGAAGCATGGTTCAAGCTAGATTCTAAATCTTTCTCAACATCACACTGGAATAGAACTAAAAGAGAACTTGCTAAGTTAAATTGAATGGCACAGGGAATGCTTTTCTGGGATATATGTTTTAACATCCTCCACGGAGTCTCCCCTTATTTCAGGACTGCAAAGCACCAACCTAGTCTGCAGCCAAGGCCAAGCAAGGATGAAATCTCTTTTCTCTTGTCTCCCACAGTGGGGAATACAGGGGGTAAAACAACGAGGAGGAAGGAATGAGGCATAAAGAGCAAAGGAGACAGGTGGAGGGCAGCTACCCTGCCAGCTACAAAACACCAGAGGTCTTTCAGTTCTGAGAATTCAAGAGGAGCCCCAGGAATAGCCTCCATGGGAAAAAGGGAAAAAATTTAAAAAATCAGAGAAAAGTCAAATGTCCAAATAAGGGTATGCCACACTGAATCAACACTCTCTTTCAACATACCAAAGGCTCCACCTCTGACCTTCAACTCCTTCCAGAACTATCTAGAATGGATTAGCAGTGATTTCTCTGTGCAAAGGGCTAGGGGGTGTGGAGAGTACCTGCCAATTTTCCTTATCTCTAAATCAGGAATTAACTGTAACTCCTTCTCTCCCTTACTCACCACATCCTATCCAACTACTGCGTTCCTGACTCTTCCCTCAATCCATCCATTCCTTTGTGACCCCAGAAATGCTCTGGGTTCAGGCCCTCAGCAGAAATGACAGCTGTTACATTCCCATAGTGCTTATTATAGGCCAAGCGCTATTCTAAGTGCATTGTATAAGCTCATTTAATCCTCCCAACAACCTGACAGGTAGGTCCCACTGTTCTCCCCATTTTCTAGATAAGAAAACCAAGTCACAGCGTGATTAAGAAACTTGCTTAGGCCAGGTGTGGTGGCTCATGCCTGTAATCTCAGCTCGCTGGGAGGACTGCTTGAGGCCAGGAGTTCAATATCGGCCTAAGCAACAAAGTGAGTCTCTACAAAAACTAAAAAAATTTAGCAGGGCATAGTGGAGCATGCCTGTAGTCCCAGCTACTCAGGAGGCTGAGGCAGGAGGATCACTTGAGCCCGGGAGTTTGAGTGTGCAGTGAGCCATGATGATGCCACTGTACTCTAGTCCAGGCAACAGAGTGACAGCCTGTCTCTAAAATATAAATAAGTAAAATAAATAAATACTTATTGAATGAATGAATGCAACAGTTGAAGTTTTCAGGGGAAGAAAGAATTCTGGTGTCCAAAGAAACAACCCGGTCTCAAAGAAGTAAAATAACAATGTTTCTTCTGAGAAGATGAATAAAAGAAAGAAAGAATATTATTAAGATGTTCTCTGCTTCCATATCTGGAGGGGGGGGAAAAAAAAAAAGAAAGAAACTTGCTTAAGGTCACAGAGCCATGTAACAGTGGCATCGGGACTGAGAGCCATGCTGAGCCGGTGCTCCACTGCTAAGTGCAGCACACTGCCCTGCTAACAGTTTCAGCTCCTTGCCAGGCACCGTTCTAGGTTCGGACACATGGCCAAAAAACAAAGCTCTTGACCTGAAGATCAGAATCCTGGATCTTGCCCTTATCAAAAGATATAAAATATTTTTTGATGGGGCAAATAAAAAAGTTGACCGTGTCACTCTTGCATATTAAAGCCAGCTGATGTTTCCTACTGCAGACAGCGTTCGGTTTAGGCTCATTTGCAACATGGCACCAGACTAAAGCACTTCTCCGGCTTCCTCTCCTCACCGTCTCCCTTCCTTGACCTCATAATCCAGTAACTTCTCTCTGCTTAGAGCTCACTGAACACAGCAGCCTGACTCCTACATCTGCCTTTACCCTTATTGTTTTCTCTACCTAAAATGCTTCTCTTTTCCTTAACTGCCCCTCCCACCCATTTACCAAACTCCTACAGATGTAGCCTTGGTCCAGACACACGTGCTTTTAAGAAACTCTCTTGGACCCATTTTAGCTAGGTGAGGTGCCCTATCTTACGTATTACCCTAGAACTCCATGCTCACCTATATTAGAGCATTTAATTACCCTAAACTGGAATTATCTCCTTCTCGAGAGTGAGGACTATTATAACTGTATACCAAAGAGCTGGCCACATCCCTTCCCATTCGTTTTCTCCTCTTATGAAATTGGAATCATATTATACACACACTTGTAAATTAGTTTAATGGTTGCATAGACTGCCTTTTAGCTTTATGGAATCATACTGACACCAACTTCTGTGCTGAGACCAATAGATTTATGGTAGGATGGGTACAAATGCAGTGATAATCCATGTTTGGATGGATGGAAAATCCAGAAACCAAAGCGAGAGATACACTGGCCTAGAAAAACACACCAAAACCTGATAAACCGATGCAGAAAGTATGCTGAAATGGTCTATTACATTCTCTGCTTGCCCACTAGAAAGCTCATATAACTATGAATAAAAAACTTCAGTGTCTTCATTTTCTTGAAATTGTTTAAATGATAACAGGACCGCGACTAGTGCACTGTTTTCTACCTCCCAAACTGTCAAACAACTCATAAAAAATATATGCGTTTTGTTCTTCATTCCTGCACATTCCTAGGGATTCCCATCACCCCTCCGTCAGATTGTGTCCCATCAATTATCTGCAAAGTTCAAACCTCACATTACCATAATCGCCTTTAGCTTTCTTCCGAGTTGCACTCTTGCAATGACGGGGCTTTGAGCACTCAGGTACGTAGGTACAGTGTCTAGGGCCCCTGAGAGTTACAGGCTCTAAAAATAAAATATAGGCTCCCAATTTTTTAAAAATTTCAAAATAAAAATTAATATTTAATTGCCTGTTTACAGAAAACACTGTCGACATTAATAATAAATATATTTGTGAAATTTTCATTACATACGAGAACACTCGTACATTAGATTTTCTCACAGCACCATTTCTAAATACATGTGACTGTCAATAAAAGTAAATTAAATAATTACAAAAGTGAACTGTATACACATAGAGTTACCATATGCCCCAGCAATTCCATTCCTAGGTATATATCCAAGAGAAATGAAAACATGTCCACACAAAAACTGGTACACAATGTTCACAGCAGCATTATTCATAAAAGCCAAAAAGGAAAAAGAACTCAAGTGTCTATTACCTGATAAATGAACAAATAAAATGCATTACAGCCTTATAATGAATTATTATTCAGCAATACAAGGAAATGAAGTACTGATATACGCTACAAGAATGAACCTCAAAAACATTATACTAAGTGAATGAAGTAGGTCACGAAAGACCACATATTGTAGGATTCTCTTTATATGGAATACCCAGAATAAGCAAATCTACAGAGACAGAAAGTAGATTAGTGGTTGCCTAGGGAACTTAGGAGGGAAATGGGAAGTGACTGCTAATGGATGAAAATGTTCTAAAATTGATTGTCATGATAGTTGCACAACTCTGTGAATATACTAAAAACCATTGAACTGTACACTTCGAATGGGTAAATTGAATGGTATATGAAGTATATCTCAATAAAGCTGCTATACATTTAAAAAGTGAATCATAAAAATCCTACCGAAAATTTTAGAGTAATTTAAGGGGGATAGAGGAGAGAATAGGTACATTCACATCGCTGCACAGCATAAAATTCTGAAATCTCAGTCTCTCTCCCACTCCTACACCATCTAGCTACCAGCTTCCATTGCCAGAGGCAATAAATGTTGTATGTTCCTGGGAGTATTTTATATATTCAGTTTGTTATCCACCTTTGACATAAATAATATACATAATCTTTTTTACATTAATGGCATACTATTCACATTGTTATATACTTTGCTTTTTTTTCTTAAGAGTATATTTGGTAAAGCATTCCATATTAATACACAAAGCTTTGATCTTACAGCATTTCATTGTATATGTTTGATATGACATGATGAGTACCTAGTTTAATACCAGTAATTTTAAGTTAAATGGGTTTTTAAAATGTTATTAGTAAATTCATTTCACAACAACTTTAGTAAGGTTTTCATTTAAGGTTTTGATAACAAAAAGTCGCAACTGCTATATATATTTACTGATAAGAAAAAGAAATTGCAATGATTTTATCATTATGTTCAACTATCATTTATTAAAGGCCTTCTGCATGCCTTCTATGCAATACATATTATATACACAAGCATTGCTAACCCTCTTAAACCTGCAAATCAGCAAAATGAATACTGCAGGAAAC